CTGAGTCACTCTTTGGAGGAGGGCCACTAGGGCTGCACTCCGGCCTGCACTGGACTGTCCCAGACACAAACAAATGCAGCTCCATGAATGACAAAGCCAGTGGCAGGGGACTGCTTCCTGGGACCCCCTCGTGGGGCCCTCAGTCCACCCAGGGCGCCCCGCCCAGCACTGTTGACCTTTGAGGTCCTCCAGCAGGCCTCCAGGGCCTCCTCCCGGGCCGGCTCTGAGGCAGCTGTGGACGGCCTCCTTTGAGCAGCGGGCACCTCCTTGGTGGGGGCCAGTGCTGGGCACGGGAGGGTGTTGAGCAGCCCCCTGGTGTGTAGCCACTAGACGCAGCAGCAGTGACCACCAGGAATGTCCCCCGACAGTGCCACGTGTCCCCTGGCTGGCAGAACTGCCTCCCGGAGAGCCACCCGTCCACCCTGAGCCTGTAGGTAGCTTCCTTCATGAAGGCCTGGTCACTACAGGGACAGCACTCAGGGAGCCTCTGCCAGCCCTGCCCCGCGCCCCCGGCCGTCCCCCTCCCCACAGCGCAGGCTGCGCCCTCCTGGCCTCTGGGTTGGTTTCTAAGTGCTTTTGTTTACTTTTTCACTGTCTGGGGTTCGTTTGGTCAGCAGGTGGACAGCAGGTGGACAGCACGCAGTGCCCTGTATCTTATCTGCTTCCTTTTTTAATGAGGCGCTAGGAGAGCGCTGCCACTGAGCCCCAGCCCCCCCAAATATTTACCTAACCCTTCCCATGGCCTGAGGGTGCGGGTGACCCGGCAGCTCCAGGCTGTGGCCTTCCTAGGGTGAGGCCCTCAGGGGCCAGCCAGGGGGTGGGGGAGCCTGTTTCCACCTCCCTGGGCCACGCTTCCCCTGCTGGGGGCTCACCGGGCGGCTGGGAAGGCCACCAAGGGCCACAGGACCCAGGAATCCCAGGGCCACACTGGGGGTCTCTGACTTCTGTGCCCACAGGTAAACCAGGCATGATACTAGGGTGGTGGCATGTCCCTGCACAAGAGGGATGTGTCCCTGAGAGGTGTCACCGCATGAATATCACAGAGCCCAGTCACCATGCCCCTGTGCAAGCCACCCCCACTGGCGTGATGGGTGGTGACCAGCCGCGGCCCCTCAGCTGATCCTGCTGCTGGCAGGAGAGGGAGATGGCGGTCGCTCGACCCCCCACAATGACACGGGGCTGGGTCACCCGGTGGTGGGCACCAGCCTAGCAGGCCGGCCCTGCCCCGGCTCCACCAGGTGAATAAACCACGGTACCAAGCAGAGGGGCAACGCAGACTGACCCTAAGACAGCCTGGGCGTCCCCACCCAGTGTCCCACCGAATGCGGTCACTGTCTAAAAAGACGCTACTGGGCTGGAGCCCGGGTGCCCTGTCACTGAGCCACATCCCTGGTCCTTTGTTCTATTTTAAGACGGGGTCTCACTAAAGTTGCTGAGGCTGCCTGGTGGCCACGCAAGGCTTTTGTTTGTTTTGGGTTGTGGACGGACACAGCACCTTTATCTCATTATCTCATTCCATCTCTCTCTCTCTCTCTATCTCTCTCTATTTTTACTTTTTAGATTTGCTTCTTACGCTCACGGCGATGGTGCGGAGCATCAGTCACAGTCCCCGGCTCTCAGTGGGAACAGGGTGCTGACGCCTGCTGGGCCGAGGCTGGACCCGGCTGGCACCGCCCATCTGTGTTTGACAGTGACCGTCTTGGCCTGAGCAAGGCTCAGGCTGGACCCCCGCGGGTCCTTCTCTGGGGTCCTATTCCTGGCCTCCACCCACTCCAGGCAGGGGCTCCCACCTGTCCTGAGGTCCCCAGGCCTGGCCAGGTGTCCCCGGGGGGTGGGGGCAGGGTGGCCCAGCTCGGAGGCCTTGGTGGGGCTCCTGCGTCTGAGGGGACCTGGTTCTGCCGGGCGACTGGGCCAGTTCCTGTCCCTGAGGCCAGGCAGCAGTGGCCGCCTCCGGAAGCCTCTGACTAGAAATGGCCGAGGCACACAAATGGCTGCTGCCCCAGGCAGAGGCTTCTGGAAGGTCCTGACCAGCTCTGCAGCCCAGCAGCAGGCCCTGCCCCTTCCCACGCGGCCACCTCTCCAGGCCTGAGACTCGGTGGCCCAGGAGGGCAGGCAGGGTTAGGCGTTGGGGACACTTCCTGTGCGGCAGCAGGGGGCCGCCACACCAGGTGGGCCAACGGAGAGCGCAGCTGGGCACCCCACTTCCTGCCCCAGGAGGGCCGCTGGCCCCTGGCCCCGCCCCAGGATAACCTCCCTGGGGGCACACGCCACCCGCAGCAGCTGCACCTCCGCTCCCCAGGGACCAGGACAGGCAGGGGCCAGCAGCTGCCACCACAGGACCCGCCCCCTGGGAATGTCCCCCCCACCCGCCACAGCCACCTCCGGCATTCCAGTCCCAAGGGGTGACCGCCTCCCCACAGTCCAGAAATAGCCCTTCCCAGGAGGCCAGGAGGCTGCCAAGAGGGGGCCAGACCCCTGGGCCAAGGTGCCCCTGATCTCCCCATCTCCACCTCAATAACGGGGAGAGGCCGGCTGCCGGTCAACAGTCCCCACCTCCACCTGGGGACAAAGGGGCAGCTGGTGAGCCAAGAACGGCCTGTTCCCTCCCCGCCAACGTGACAGGCACATACTGGCCGCTGGCACTTAGAGGGCCCTGCCCCGAGCCGCTGGCCAGGCCACCGTGGACGAGGCTCCTCGGTGCCAGGGTGCTGGGGGTGGCCGCGGCCCTAGGGGCTTCCTTCCCGGTCACTGCCTCTGAGCTTCCAGCGCCTTCTCTCAAGGAAGTGTGCCCACTGCTAGAGGGCCAGGCCACCAGAGAGGGCCAGGAGCCTGCGACGCTCTCAGAGCTGGGAGAGGGAGGCAGCGGCCAGGGGAGGCCCTCCTGCTGCCCAGGCCTCTCCCCGAGCCTGGGGTGACCTGAGCGCTGCCCAGAGACCGGCCAGTGCGACCCTCTTGCCCTGGAAGAGGCGGAGCAGGGGCCAGTAAGCCCCAGAGCTGCTCCCATCCCCCAAGCCGCCAACAGAGGCCTCTCAGAGGGCAGCGGGCAGCTGGCGCCAAGAGGCCCGGAGGCGGGCGGGGCCAGGGCCTGCATGTTAAAAGACCCCGGCTTCCTGCAGGGAGCCCGGAGGTGGCCACAGTGGGCAAGTGCCCCCTGCAGCTGCAGCCACCTGGTGGAGAGTCCGGGCCAGGGCCAGCCGGGCGGCCGGATGAAGCAGCCAGACAGGAGGACAGCGGTTCCAGAGTCCTCAGGACCTACTGGTGTAAAAAGCCCTCACTGTGCGCCAGGCCTGGCCACCTGTACCCCAGCTCCCCAGAGGCCGAGGCAGGGGGATCAGGGGTTCAAGGCGGCCTCTGCGACCTATGGAGACTAAGTCTCAACATTCAAAATAAAACGGGCCGGGTGTGGCTCAGGGGTACGGCACCGGGTCACCCAGTGCGTCCCCAGGAAGCAGGCTCAGACCTGGCTCTCCACACGCGCTCTGCTGTGGGGTCACTGCCCGGGCGGCCCTGCTGCCTGCCCCGGCCTGCCTGTCCACGCTCCCTGCAAGGGCCCTCCCCTGCAGACCAGGCCTGGTGTCACCTCCCGCTGCCCCTCCTGGCCCCAAACCTGGAGGCCCCTCTGTGCTCTGCCCACTACTCCCAGGGACTCCAGGTTCCCTGCCCGGCCCTGCCCGCAGTGACCTGAAGGCAAGTCAGGTCTCCTCTGCCCAGAGCTCCCCAGGGCTCCCACCTCCCTGGAGGCCAAGGTCAAGTCCTCCTTATGCCCCAGGCCCTGCAGGCCTCCCCCTCCCCCTCTGCTCCCCACACAGGCTCAGCCCTGCCTCAGGGCCTTCACAGGAGCTGTGGGCCCCTCCTCGCCCCAGCCCTGCTCCTTCCTAGGCGCAGCCTAGCCGTGGCCCCTCCTGGAAGCCTCTGGATCCAGCCCTGCACTGCCCGGCCCTCCCTGGGCCTCCTGTCTGGTGCCCTGTGTGATCCCCTGGTCACCAGGGCCAATCCACCGCACACAGCGTGCCTCCCCACCTCTCGGAAACTCGGAAGGAAGAATGGATTTGATTCGCGTCCTGGTGAAGGCAGCTTCACCCGGGCACCTCTGCGGAGCGGCCCACCAGAGCTGCAGGTGTGGTCATGGCTCCTGGGAGCCGAGGACTGCGAGGGACTGGCCAGCAAGTCACAGCCTGCCCTGCAGGTCTCAGGATGGGCCTGAAGTGCTGGGAAGGACAGATGGCAGGGTCAGAGGGCAGACAGGACACCTGGGCCTGGGAGGGACCCTCCAGGACAGAGGCGCCACCTTGTGGCACAGCGTCCCCTGCCTGTCCCTTCTCAGTCCCAGGGGAGAGCTGGGAGGGGCTTAAAGCCCGCCTTTTGGAAATGGGTTGGGTGGGGGAGGAGACAAGAGGAGAGGACCTCAGAACCTCGCCGTCAGACAACTCGGGTTCAGTCCTAGGCTGTGGAGCTCCGCTGTGTGATGCTGCATAAGTGACCTGCCTCTCTGATCCTGTTTCCTCCTTCAAAAAATCCTAGAGGATCAAGCTGCAGAACAGTGCCGTCAAGTCGCAGCGGTCGTTTCTTACCGGGACTGCAGAGGCCGGAGCCTCCAGGATGGGAGGTGTCCTTAGGGAGCCTCCTAGAAGAGTAGGCCTGAGCAGAGGAAAGGACAGGGGGGGGGACTGTCGCACGTGGCACTAAGAAAAACAAAAGACGTGACAACAGTGACCAGCGACATCTGAATTTCAGATGGAAAATGAGTGTCAGTAGATCCCCGATATTTTGTGGGATACACTCAGGCCTCGGAATACGCTGATCTCCGCCTGGAATTCAGAGGCAGTGGGCCTCCCGCGCCCCCAGGTGCAGCAGGGCTACAGGGCCTCGGGTCAGGAGGGGGACAGGGACCTGCCCTCCCCACTCTGGAACAAGCCAGGGGCAGGTGCCCTGGACCAGTCCCTGGGGGCAGGAGCTGGTGGGGAGGCTGGGGTGTGAGCACCAGGAGGTGGGCCAGGCTGCTGGCCAGGGCCAGCCCACCCTTGGCCCTGCACCATCGGCCCCACGCGGGGCTCACTGCTGCACCCCTTTCCCATCATGCGAGGCCCAGCCGCTATCCTAAGATGGGGTAAGATCGCCAGGCTGTATTTTCCAAGTCTTCACGGGTCACAGTCCCCTAGACCAGAGGTCTTCAGTCCCTGGAAAGCCCCAGGCTACCAGGCCTGCTTCTCAGTGACCTTTGAGCCTCCAGACCTACAAGGTGCCATTCCACCTCTACAAGCCCTCCCTGCCTCCCCTCCTCCTGCCCCTCAGCTCCCCACCTGCCCCAGGGCCTTTGCACTGCCCTCTCCCAGGCACACCTTTCTTCCCCGGGGTCTCTCCAGGGTTCCCCCTCACTTCCTTGACTGGAAAGGCCTCCCCTGACCACCCCTGACCACCCCTGACCACCCCTGACCACCCCTGACCACCCCTGACCACCCCTGCCGTCCCACGCCTGCACCTGCCTTCCAGATAGGACTCACTATCACCTGACTCCTGATTAGGTCACAGGCTTATCTGGTTTATTGTCCTGTCTCCCACGAGGCGCTGAGTGTCACCAGGGCTGGGCTCTTAATCTGTTTTCCCCACTGTGCCCCCGACCCAGGAATGTGGCTGGAGGAATGAAGGAGCCGGGATCTGGGCCTGCGCGCGCGCAGGCTCTGGCCTAGACTAGCTGCAGGCGGTCACTTACACTGAAAAGTTCTGGTTCTAGGCTGGGTGCGGCTCAGGGGTGGCCCTGGCCCGGGGTGCTCAAGGCCAGGGTGCCGTGCCATCCCAGCACTGCAGAGCAAGCAGGAAAACGCAGCAGTCACAAGGTGCAGAGCCCTAGCAGGTTCCACCCAACATCCCAGAACGTTCTGTTGCACAATGCTGCACAGACCCGTCCGACAAGGCACTCGGCCTCCCACCCCCACTTCCCCTGCTCTTTCTGGACGCTCCAGAAGCCCCGTGTGACCCACACAAAGCAGCAGAGTGGCCAGCTGAGGGCCTGGACGAGGAGCTGGCACCGCCACGTCCTTCTCTAGGGAGCAGGACCCTCTCCATTCTCAAATCCCAGAGACCTTCGGACCCCCCAGGGGCCTTCCCCTCAGCAGGGGTGCTGACCCCCCACCGGCCCTGGTTCACAGACTTGGTTCAGAGTAAAGGGGACTGGACCCAGTGAAGCTGCTTTGCCACTGAGCTACGTCCCCAGATCTTTTTAAAAATTTTCATTTTGTGACAGGATGTCACTAAGTTGTGGAGTGTCTGGTGAGGTTGCTGAAGCTGGAGGGGAAGGGGGAGGGGGAGGGGGCGGGAGATGCTCCAGCCTCAGCGGAGCACCACGGGGCCTAGCTGTGAGGATAGGGAATAGCTGGGGGAGGGGGAATCCAAGTGACACAGCTTCAGGAAGTGGTTGATCCAGGAGCCAGAGAGGCTGGGGCCTGGACCTGCACTGCCCGCGGCTGACAGCCTCCGGTCCTCCCTTATCTGTAAAACGGGGATGACGAGGGGAGGACACAGCGTTGGGAGAACTGGGAGGCTCCACTGGGGCTGAGCAGGCAGGAAACTCGGCGCCTCTTCACCGCGGAAGTTCAAGTTGCTCAGCGGCCGAGTTGCGCTCGGCCATCACCCTGGCGCCCAGGAGGAGGGCGTGGCCACCAACGAGCTGAGGACCTCACAAAACCATCGCTGGGGACCTCCGGGGAAATTGGGGACTCGGGACCCCAGCGGGCGCCGTGGGTCGCACGCACCTTCCTGGGCTGAGTTCGTCGAGACCCAGGCGAGGGGGGGTGCCCCTTTTCGGGGTCCGGCGTGGCACCAGCGCACCACCCCGCCCCAGGAGCAGCGCGGGGTCCTGGGGGACCTCACGAGTGGCCGCCGCCGAGCCCCGCGGGGGCGGGGCGGGGACAGGGGCGGGGCGGCTGCCTCGCCCTGATTGGCCCCCGCGGCCCCGGGGCCCGCCCGCGGGTGGGTGGAGCCGCGCCCCGCCCGCCGTCCAGCAGGGAGCCGCCGAGTGAGTGCTGGCCGCCGCGCCGACGCCCCGCGGACGAGGTGAGCAGCTGCCGGGGCCGGGAGGGGGCTGCGGCCGGGGGCAGCACCCGCTCGCTCCGGGGCTGAGACCCCAGCGCTTCTCCCCGCCGGACCCCCGAGGGCGAAAGAGCTCCCGGGGCCGCGGGGGCCAGGCCGCGCCCGCCCCCGTCCCTCAGACTCCGAAGGACGGACTTTGCCACGCGGAGTGCGGGCCAGTCTCGGAGTCGCCCGGGCCGCGGGCACCGCGGGGCGCCGCCCTCCTCCCGGGTCTTCAGGACGCCCGGGCACCGGGAGGCCATCCCCGGCCTCGCGAGGACCCCTGCTTTGCAAAGGGTGCTGCCCCCTGCGGCCGGACCCCCTGGAGCGGGCCGAGGTCCCGGGGTGCTGCAGGCCTTGTCTGCCCGGGGCTGCGACCCTGCTGGGCTGGGACCACCGCGGTCCTTTGGAATTTCGTTAGTCCACTCTTGAGCCTGCCCAGGCAGCGGCCCTGTGTCTGGGTCAGGAGCTCCTCTGCCGTGGACCTCAGGCAGTTTCCAAGATGAGGAAGTGGGGTTTGGAGTTGAGGGTTGCAACAGCTCTAGCCAGCTCTCTCTCCCGGGCGGGCAGGACACTGACCCCCAAGGACGGTGGGTGGTGGCCACCCTTGCCGGAACTAGTTCCCGGAGGGCTGGAAGGAAGAGGGGCGAGGAAGCAGCCCAGGCCTCAGCAGGACTTGGAGGGAGAACAGGGGATTCAGGTTGTGACATCCCCCGCCCGCCGTCTCCAGTCTCCTCGGGGTGTTACTTGCTGGCCCTCTGAGAGCCTGCCCACCCGGGGGAGGCCATCTGGTTGGTTCTGGGCCATAAAAACCAAGGACACTTGTGGCTCAGGTGCCACCCGTACAGTGAGCTTGGACCCACCTGGGGACCCTGTCCTCTCCTGCCCCAACCTGATTGGTCTGCAGTAGGGCCAGGAATGGCCTTTCACTTTTAAAAAACTTATCTGTTTTTTTTGGGGGGTGCTGGGGATGGAGCCCAGGGCTTTGAGCATGGACGAAGTGTCTACCGTGGGCTGCACCCCCAGCCCTTAATTGGAGGTGCTACTATTTGTCTGGCCCCCAAATCAGAAGGCACCTCCACCCGGCCCAGCCACCTGATCCTCCCTCTTCCCTGAAAAGTAGCCACGGTTGATTTTCCTGTCTCTAGCGTCTGTGAAGCAAGCAGGGCATTTTGCACTATTCAAAGCCTATTAACAGTACCCGTGAGCCTCTGCCTGGGGTAGGTGCACAGGCACACACGCTCCGGCCGAGTGGCAGAGCAGGGGCGGGACCGTCCCTCAAGTGAGCTTTCTGGGTCCAGGGGAGACTGGCAGCTGCGGGCAGTTTGCCCTCGCCACGGGCTCTGGACCAGACCCACCCCCCTGGACAACAGGTGACACAGCAATCCTCAAAGGGGCTGCTTTTCAAGGTGGCCCTGGAAGCTGCCAGACGTGTCAGGGGTGCGGCTCAGTGGTCAGCATTTGCCCCATGTGGAGGCCCTGGGTTCACCCCAGTAAAAAAAGGGATTCAGGGTCAGGTGGGCACCTTGGACCCGCTGCTGCTGACCGAGGCCCACAGGCCACCTCCTGCTCTGAGTGATGAGGACTGGGCGCAGGCGAGGCTGGGGCTGTCCCTGACCGTCTGCTCTGACCACAGGGCCTGCTGCAGACAGCATGTCTACCCAGGGCTCGGGGACAGAGGCGGACTCTGACACCCAGGTGCCTGCAGAAGGACCGGAACCACAGGTGAGCAGGGCCCCGAGGGCAGGCTCCTGAGGTCAGTGCTGCCTCTCTGGGTGCTGGGCTGTCCCGGGTCCTGGGCCGTAGGGAACCTGGGACTCGGGGCGGGGGGGGGGGGGACCCCGGGGGCACCATTTGAGGCTCTCTGCCCCTCCCCCAGCCACACTGCCCCCTCCTGGAGGGTTCCCTTGAGAGTGGATCCCTGATCTGCCGCCACCCCTCTAGGATGGGGTCCCCCGCAGGTGCCAGCAAGCACTGTCCCCGGCCCTGATTGTTTCAGAGCCAGGTGGCAAGTGGCCGCCCTGCTGGAGCGCAGCTGTGGGACATTCTTCCCCGACACCTTCCTTGCTCAGGCCCTAGCCTAAAGGTCCCCTTCCCAGGAAGCCCCTGCGGGTCGCCTGCCCACCCCAAGAGGGCTTGGTCCGAGGTCAGCTGCCCTCTGTCGAGGGACAGGTAGTAAACACAGCTCTGTGAGTTGGGCGATTGTCCCCACGGTCCCCTGTTCTGGTAGCCAGAGCAGCGCAGCGCAGCGCCTTGGGGTGGGGCGGCACGGTGGTGGGCCAAGGAGACTCCATGAAGCCAGGCCGCCGGGCGCCACTGGGCTCTCAGGGCCTGAAGCTCTGCACGTGCTGCTCGATGGGGCTGAGGACGGGGTGCAGGGACATGCCCCAGACACGAGGACATGCTGCGGCACCCACCCAGGGCTCCCCAGACTCTCAGATCCAGAAATAGGAAGCTGCGGGATGGGGCGCGCGCTGGGAGTGGGGAGGCCGCTTGAGTGGGCAGACCCTCCGCTTGGGGAGACAGAGGTCCTGGAGGTGGACAGTGGGGACAGCTGCACACACGGTAACCATGCTTATTGTCCCTGGACTGGGCACTTGACAGGACGAATAGCCGGGCCCAGCGGCCCACGTCTGTATCCCAGCTCTTGGGGGGCTCTGGCAGGACCAGCCTGGGTCTCGAAATAAAAACCCCAAAGGGCCGGGGCCCTCGCGCGGGCGCCCTGCGTTCAGTCTCTGTACCACAAGTAAGGCCACCTAGGGCGACGCACGAAGGCCACCCGTCTTAGTGCTCGGCCTTCAGCCACCCCAGGAGCAAGTTCAGGGACAGAGACGGGTGGGCCGCCAGGGGTGAACACCTGGTTGGCATCCACTCCAGGACAGGGACAGTGGGTCTCCTGCCTTGTCACTTCCTGGGCATGGCTGGGGGCGAAGTCACGCTAAAGGAATCCACAGGAGGAGCTGGCGGAAGCTCCCGGGTCCTGGCTGAGGGGTGCTGGGTGCAGGAGGGCGGGGCCAGCTTCTGGTCCTGGGTCCTGTCCCTGCCTCCCTCCGCCAAGCCCTGAGCGGCCCCTCACCCCACAGCCCAGCGTGGTGGGCCGGGTGGCCAGCATGCCCCTCATCAGCTCCACCTGTGACTTGGTGTCCGCCGCCTACGCCTCCACCAAGGAGAGCCACCCCCACGTCAAGACCGTCTGTGACGCGGCAGAAAAAGGCATCAAGACCCTCACCGCGGCCGCGGTCAGCGGGGCCCAGCCCATCCTGTCCAAGCTGGAGCCCCAGAGTGAGTGACACCCGAGAATGTCCACTCCTGTCCATGCTGGGCCCTGTCCCCCCAAACCACCAGGCCCCCAGCAGCAGTGACAGTCCCACTCTGTTTTGTCCTTCTCCAGTTGCGTCGGCCAGCGAGTACGCACACAGGGGCCTGGACAGGCTGGAGGACAGTCTGCCCGTCCTGCAGCAGCCCACGGAGAAGGTGAGGCTGTGTGTGCGGCGCGCGCCCTGGGCCTGCCTCGGGGTCCAGCCTCACTCGCAGAGACGGGAGTCAAGACCCCACGGCCCCCACTTTGCCCAGAGCAAAAGCCACCCAGGTCACTGGCTTTGCCCCGGCCACGTCGGCCTCTGTCCTTCTTCGGGACTGTCACACCTGGGGGAACAGGGCACAGTTGAGACTGGGGGACGCAGTGATGGAAACGGAGCCTTGGCCTCGGGGAGGGGAGCTTGATGGGGGAGGCAGAGAGAACGAACTCGCCCGCCCGCGCCCTACCCCGGGATCTTTGCACGTCTTCTTTCTTTTGCGTGGTGAGGGGTACCAGGACTGAACCTGGGGCGTTCTGCTGAGGCTGGCCTTC